GGAGGGGAGTCGAGGGGGGGACTTTAGTGCCGAAGGAAGGAATCGGGCGAGAGAAGGAAGAGGCGCAGTGCAGAGAGGGAGAGAAGGCGAACGGGAGTCTCTCTCGTGCAGAGGGAGAGCGGGATCGAATTAATGAAAGGAGCGGGCTCCAGAGCCGTTATTCAGAAGCAATTGGCGGGGATTTAATTTGTTTCCTTTCAGGCAGCGAGCTTAAATGGAAAAGCTTAATGAGGAATTAAATGATAAATTTAAATTTTGAAATTCAAAATTCAAACTTATATAAGCTGAGGCAATTAGCCCGTGTTCAGCCCAAATCGAACCCAAGTCGGACCTGGGTTGAGCCCGGGCCCGCGCACCGCTAAAAAAAATGCATCGATATTCGTGCTAGTCGCTCGCGCGAGAAACCATAACAATGCGGGTGTCCTTTCTAGCTAAAGTCGACGTTCCGGATGCGTCGGCGCAGTCTGTTTCGTCATCCGGGGTCGTACGAACGATTTCCCCGACGGGCGAGTCGATTCAAGCCAAAGTCGTGTATGGTGCAGCGAGTGCATTGCTGAGTCACCGAGGGTTCACCTAAGGTTGTACGATCCTGTAGGAACTCATTTTCGGGTCCTCTACATGTTGGTCCTTAGCCCTTGCAACTAAAGGTTGAGTGCTTGGAACCACTTATGCGAGTTCTTCACAAAAATGAGTCAAAAAGTGGCTTGAAGTTCTACGGGAGGTGGGCTCCATTGCTAGTCCGCTAGGATGGTCAATAAGAACTCCTAAAGCTAGATCCTAGGTTTTAAGAGTAGAAGACTAATACCTCACTAAAAATGAGGTCAACATGTACGTGTGGTCTGACCCAATAGCTTAACAAAAAGTAGTGGTTAAGATTACAACCCTTTGATTAAATGATCTAACGCTAAATGATACCATTATATTATGATCATGACTGCAACTTGTATGCTCCCAAATGACTTTTACTCTTTGAGTTATGAATCATAAATGTACAATTGATCGATACAAATCCTTCTGTTAGCTGACATCGACTTAAATTTATCCTCTTAGATAAACATTCACCCCAGATCTAAAAGGGACTTTTAGACGATACAACTCATGATTGTTGACAAAAATAATTCAGTTAGGTTGGGTCGACTATCTTCTTTAAATAAGTAGATAATGGATCATGCCAACCCGGGATGACGAAATCATGTGATTTTGAACTATTTCAATAGCATTTCCCCCACCATCCGCTTTAAACTCTAGGAGGTAAATCTAAATTGTCATTGATTTTGTTCCTATCCACCCAAGACAATTTTTTTGAACTTTAATGAAGTGCCTATAGCAAAGATGATTTTAAGTGATTAGTTAAAGATGTGTATAGTATTTCAATTTTTTTCCTTTAAAGGTTATTGGCACAACCTTTATAAATAGATCATATTCATTCCCAACTGAACCCATTTCCTCATTTATTAGAACTTGCTCTAATAGATCCAAAAAAAAAATCGTCATTGACTTTGCCCTATACGCACCAATCCACCATGTTTATGACACATGCCTTTAATTTGTTCTACTTCTCTTCTTTCAACTTAGTCTCTCTCAAGTATTTCTTCACAATATAAGTCTACTCTCACTAAATAAATTCATTCTAAGTCACAAATATCATCCTTAGAGCCCCCCTATTACAATCAAAATGAACTCCACGCAAGCAACTCCCCCAACTGACTTTGAAACTGCTTAAAACTGAATTGGTCGGGCTATTGTGCGGTTTGTCACGGACTAACTTTCCTCAAGTCACCCGTGCGGCTTTAGCGCTCTTTCTTAGCACTAAATCAGCCTTACCCCTCACAACACTGGACTTATGAGCCCCAAACACTCTTAAGAAGAATAATAGAGAAAAAGGAATAATTAGCACTTGAATACTAGAATGCTTTGATTCAATGCTTGGGTAAATACAAATGAGGGGAGGAGCTCCTATTTATAGCCTCCTCCATGTCTTTGGCCTTTCATCTAGCCAATGTGAGACTATTCCAAGTCCAAGAGAAGTTTCTAGATTACAATATAATATTCTATCTCTTAGACTATTCTTATGTACATACATAACTCTAGAACATTCTAGGTTATTCTTAGATTCTCTTTAAAGCTTTTCCTTCTTGCTCTCTCCTGAATGTGGCGGAATCTTCTAGAGCCCCTTTGATGACCCTTTACATCCTGACCTTCTCTAGAATCTTCCATCTCGTGTTCGTCTTGACGACTTCTCGAATATGGCGGAGCGTGACAGGTTGCTCTACCTCCTGCAGTGCTACAAAACCAAGCTTCAGCATTGAGGCACTGATCTCCAAATCTTTTCGGATGATTTTTTATCCATCAAGCACCCTCATCGTGGCACTAAACTTTATGTCTGGATGTCCTTTTCATTTTTTGGCACTACACTGCCATAAACTAGCGTAGCGGTACTATCTCGGGTTTCTAAACAATTTCTTCACATCTCCAGCATCATAGGACCAATGAGATAGGACCGAGACACCATTTCTAGCATTGCAACACCAGTTGATCAGCGCTCAAGCATTGTGCACTATGCTCCTTCAGCTATTTTTGCTCTGAACGATGCCATGACGTTGTTGCATACAACTCCAAGACGCTACCTTGGCTTTCTTTGAATTTTTCTCATTTCTTCTCCTATAAGAAATTCCTACAGCAATCACAATAATTAATGAAAATATAAAACAAAATAATATTATTTTATTTAAAATACACGATTATTCATTAATTATTTAACTCTCCACACACTGAAGAACATCCACCTCTATTATATCTCCAATTGACCTAAAGGGGTTGACTGCGGTGCAAAACAGAAATTCCCTCTAATCTTAAAGTCAAATGGATACTACCATAACACATTTATTTAAAGCCGACCAACTAAGCACAATCAAAAGTTCTTTCTCAAAAATCAAGAAGGGTAATTAATTATAGAAGCCAGGAAATTTTGAAAGAGATCATAAAATTCTCATAAAATGAGGACAAACCTTTAGATAGTATCTTATCTAAACTTCACCGTGACTTAAAAAATTTGGCCCAAAGCCAAACTCTCATGACAAAGCTGAGTCTGCAACCTTTCGGAGACCATATTAATATCAAGGATGCAGCCAAGACATCACTAGGAAAGGTAAAGTTAAATGTTACATATGGCAAACTTATGGCATGTTTGTGAGCATTGCAGTAAAAATGAGTTCGTTTAGACTCCAAAACTTCAAAGAATGCTCATTCACTGTCTAAAAGATTTTGGAGTCATGTCAATAATTCTAATTTCTATAAAAGCTTCTAGAGCATCATAGATAGCTCTAGCTCCTATAAAAACTCCTAGAGTCATGTAGATATCTCAGGTATTTATAATGATAGTTGGTAGGGGGTACATGTCCCGGACCTATATAAGACCATTAATTAGTATCAACACCAAAATAATCACAATCACCACCAGCTTGGGAAAAAAAAAGAGTTTTATGAGTTACATTCTCCTTGAGTTCCTGTTAGGAAGTGTGAGTAACGACTGACATAGGATTAGAGAATCTAAGGCTGTACATATAAGGGAGTGCTAGAATTGTAAGTCCAAAACATTTGCATGATGAAACGATTTGGGGAACATCACACAGGCAACACAACAAACTTTCCTTCATAAAAAAAGGATTAAACAACAAGCAATGTTAATCTAATATAATAAGTAGACAGCATTTTCATGAAGTCAGGTCAGCTTAAAATGTTGTACCTCACTCAAAGCTTCATTTGGTGTGGAAGCAAATGTTTCCTTGTACGATATAGCTCTTTTCAAGCGTTTGCCTCGACCAAGAACTTCTTCCTGCTCCACTTGATACGTCTCCCATCTAAAACAAAAAGCATAAGCGTAAACATAAAATTCCTATAGCATAAACACCTTACATACAAGCATATTTTCATCATAAATCTAGAAAAGTGAATATATAAGACAAAAAATTTCCTCTGATAAGCAGCATTAGCAGAAAGATGGTACTCAAAAACAACACAATGAATACTTTAAAATCAACGAAACTAGCATCTCACTTCAGAAAATTTCAAGCTGCCTACCAGTTTCCTTTCTGCAAATGTTTTATAAAGCTACAGGTTTTAAGCAAAGCTTCCTGAAGACATGTCCGACCATCTAGGTGACAATCATCCGTTCTAATTTTGGCCCCATGAACCCCTGAGTAGGCTCAAAAAGTGTCTTGACATTTTCTCAAAAATTAAATGATATTAAATTTTACTCACTCTTTTCCTCTCAACTTGATCTCAGAATAACTCGTACAAAACTTGACAAAAATCATAGAGAAACAAGTCTATTTTTCGCAACTAGCGTGTAATAGCTCAATCAAAGACATTAAGGCTACATAATTTAATCAACTAAACATATTCATCGATGCAGAGGTCGACATTGAGATAAACACCGTCCATATTTCACAAGTGAAATCCCAAAGATAATGTCATAAATTTGCTGGCTCTAAATTTAACAGAATTTGATCTTGTATTGAAAACAAGAAAAGTGTAAGCCAACAAGCTGCACACTACGCTAAGCAATTTAGCAGGGTAACAATAACATACTAAGCAATTTACAGAGGCAGAAGCATACATTGCATGAAAGGCAGAAATGAAGAACAAAAAAAAAATCAAGAAAATATTCGAGGAATGGAGATTAATACTCAGATTGATAGAAACATGCAAGCAGATATTGAAAAGGAAAGGGAGACTACATAAGAAAAGATAAATCCACAATTTGGAAGACTAATATAGGTTAATCTATCACCATCAGCATGTGGACGATCGGTAAAGGCTTTAAAAATGGTTGCCAAGAGCTTGAGATCGAATCCTGCCCACATCAAAATATATCAACATCGACAGTCATAAAAAGCTTTAGGCACACAATTTTCCAAATATATCCCTTTGAAAACCATGTCGTGTGTGGAGACTGATTGGGGCGCTCCAGCCCCTGGAAACTCGAGAGCCAGAAAACATTGCACTCAGATACGGGCGAACCAGCGTCAGTGGGAGCCCAGGCAACCAACCAAAAGTTCCCAGGGCAAAAGCTTTACGCCCAGGAGGGCACAACTGTGCTCGGAGTGACTCACAACACCGAGCGTCTGAAAACCATGCACCAGAGGTAGCACCCGACACCATAAGTAGTTTTCTTATACTACTCAGGATTTAAAGACTCCAACTTCAATGCGAGAAAGAGAATTTCACCGGTCGCACGTGAAATTCTCTCTTTGTTGTTTACATGAAAAAGACCATTGTGGGAACAGGCCATTGTGTGTGTAGTTTGTGAATTTTTTTTTGTGCCAAAGAGAAGTAACATTCTGAAGTATTGTTTGAGTTCTAGAAAAGGAGAGACTCTATTGCATTGCAATCTGTAAATACTCCTCATTTTAATAGTGGATTCTTTGGTACGGTGTGGCTCTATGAAATTTTCCGTTCTCAGGTTTTTTTTTTTTTTCATTTTAAGTATTTGTGTGCTTTGCCTTTTTTTTTTTGAACTACTTGTCTGCCTGTTCAAATATTTTTGTTGAAATCTCTCAAATGAGTGTTACGCATTTTTCTTAACCACATTACAAGTGATATCAGAGCGGGGTTTCTGAAGATATCTGAATTGAGTGCGAGCAATGACCAATGAAACAAGGGAAAGTGCGAAGTTCTACTGTTTGAACTTTGCTTAACAGAAAATGCAAATTGAAGATATATTGTATAAAAAAAACTGTATTTGCCACTGAAATGAATCGACAAGAAGCCTTAATTGATATATAAAGTGCTTGATCGAACATTATTTGGTTTTATCTAACTCTCACTTTTCTCATATGCTGCTTTCAAAATTGTGAATGAGAAAACTACAGCAAATCTCATGACTGCACTAAAAAGATGTAGGAGAAACCTACAACCTTAATAAGTTTTTTTGATAAAAAGATTGTTCATCCCAAATCGGATAAATTCAACACCGTGACTAATCAGTTGTGTTCTGTTGGTGGCAAGTTCGATGATGAGGTCAGAGAACTATTACTTTTATCTTCGTTGTCAAACAGTTGAGATGAACTAGTCACAACGTTGAGTAACCCTTCCGGTAATATGAAGTTAAATTTTGATGATATTGTAGGGTTAGTGGTAAACGAAGAAGTTCATAAGAAGATCAGCAATGAAACTTCAAATTTTGTGTTGAATATTGAAAACAGAGGAAATAATCTAGATAAGAACACCGATGTTGACCTCATTTTTAGTGAGGTCTTGTTTCCTACTCCCAAAACCCAAAGTCTAACCTTAGGAGTCCCTTGTTGACCATCCTAGCGGACTAGTAATGAAGTCCACCTCCCGTAGAGCTTCAAACCACTTCTTAACTCATTTTTGTGAAGAACTCACATGAGTGATTCCAAGCACTCAACTTCTAGTTGCAAGGGCTAAGAACCAACATGTACAAGGCCCGAAAAACAAGTTTCTATAGGATCAGACGGCCTTAGGTGAACCCTCCGTGACTCAGCAACGCACTCGCTACACCATGTACGAAGTTGACACATTTTTTTGCCCGGCCGTCGGCAAATTTGTCCGGACAATCCCGGATGATGAAACGAATCACGCCGTTGATGCATATTGCGATGGAGGGGCGTATATTGGGCTTGCCATCATGCCATTGTAAGCTGCCTCCAGATGGCAGTTTGGGTTGTGGTGAGGAATGTTTAAACCGTATGCTCAATATTGAGTGTGTAAAGGGAAACATGCCCATGTGGGAAGCTATTTTCGGATCGGCATTTTCATTTTGTGCTTAAGGATGTTGGCCTTTTACTAGAATCTGTTTACTGGAATTTGTCCCGTTGTGAAAAAGGAGAGATCCGTAGCTTTGAAAACTATGGAGGATGGGCAAGTCATGCTTTATTCCAGTTCTGTGAATGGAAAGGAAGCTAATATTTAGGGTAGAACACTTTAAATCACTTTAAGCACAAGTTAAAGTGTAGGCTTTCTAGATTTTAGGAGCACGCCCTAGTTGAGAGTCCATCCACCTAGTTCTCAGTGTAGGCTTCTTAGATTTTAGGAGCACGCCCTAGGTGAGAGCTCATCCACCCAATTCTCAGTGTATTCTCCCACCCAATTCTCAGTGTAGACTTCCTAGATTTTAGGAGCACGCCCTAGGTGAGAGCTCATCCACCTAATTCTCAGAGTAAGCCTCCTAGATTTTAGGAGCACGCCCTAGATGAGAGCTCATCCACCTAATTCTCAGTGTAGGCCTCCTAGATTTTAGGAGCACGCCCTAGGTGAGATCACATCTACTTAATTCTCAGTGTAGGCCTCCTAGATTTTAGGAGCACGCCCTAGGTGAGATCACATCTACTTATTTGTCAGTGTAGGCTTCCTAGATTTTAGGAGCACACACTAGGTGTGAGTTCATCCATCGATTTTTCAGTGTTGTCAGTGTATGCTTCCTAGATTTTAGGAGCACACCCTAGGTGAGCGTTCATCCACCTAATTTTTAAATAAATAATGAAACTGGACACTTGACCCTGATTTATAAACTGATTAAGACACTAGACATGAGGATGCACCGAGACGTAGTTCATGCTTCCTTAATTAAATCAATACTGAAATTTTCGTCATGACTTAACCTATAGTGAAACCGAATTCATCGGGATTTGAGCTTAGATATGACACTCAAATCCTCCTGGCAATTAGAGAAATTTATTAATGTCACATATGTATCATCGGATTAGGATAAGTCTAGGGTCTAAGTGTCGAGGGCGATGATGACATTTCTTATGTGTTCTTAAACGAGAGATACAAAGTGAAATTATTAGAATACTATCTGCTACCTCAAAAATCTTCAATAAGAAAAAGAAAATGATCAAGGGAAAGGAAATGACCCATGATATTATTCGCTGATTCTTGGTGGGATCGTTGCCCCCGATGCTCTTAGGTTGTCAGTAGTTCAAGCACGATTAGAGTGATTATCCCGTGGACTACACGACTTTACAAAATATTTACAAAAATAAAACAAAAACCTCTTTTACATTTTAAAAAGAACTCTACATAAAAAGGACTTAGACAACATCTTTTGCATAAAAATTAAACAATTTTTCTATGAAAAATTATAAAGGTCCACGACTAGTCACTTGGATTAAGGTTAAGAACTGTCTTCTGTAGTTTGTCGATCCGTAGATTGTCGGGTCGGAAACTCTTGTTCAAGATCGGGAAGCACACAGTCCAGTTCTGAGCCCCCACTTCTACCAATGTCTTACACCCAGTTTTGGTCTTACATATGTGGCTAAGGGTTTTTTTTGCTTATAATTTCTACGACTCATTTTTTCAGACTTTCATGCTGGGTTTTCTCGCCATATTTATTTTTCTTGCATGTGTTTAAATCTGTTGCAAATCATACTATACTTGTAGTACTAATCACGCAACAATAGCAAATGCCCAGATACGCTTTTACAATTTATCTACAGCATTTTTATTTTACTGTATTTTACCTTTCAAATACATTTTATTTACTTGCAATTTGATTATTCTGCATGCAAAACCAGAACTGAAACCAAAACCGAAACAAAACAAAATCAAACTTTGACATCAAAACTGACATAAATCAACAGTCTCAAACACTTAAATCATTGAGCCATCGCTACAAACTTCTTGGGCAGCGCGGTATGAAGCTTGGAGCGGACTACAAATGGGGGTAGTCTTCATTCTACAACAGAAAAACAAGTCTACACCAGCTAAACTCTCTCCTTAGTCTAAGTCATAGCCCATAGGACTTTGAGTTGAGGTAGCTCGCCTAGCGCGATGTAAATCCTCATCCATTTTTTAGGTTCCTACACAACTGTGTTGTGCAGCGTAAGTCCTAATT